TGCTGAGAGTTCGAAAGAGGTTCGCAGCTCCCACCCGGTAGCGGATGAGCTGAAAGAGGCTGAGAAGGGAGCAAGAGCAGGAGCACGACGCAACAAGACATGGAGCAGCAGGAGCAGGAGCAGGAGCAGGAGCAGGAGCAGGAGCAGGAGCAGGAGCAGGAGCAGGAGCAGGAGCAGGAGCAGGAGGCACCTCGACAACACTGGGACGGAGGTCAGCGAGGATGGAAGGCCAGCCGAGCCAGTCGATGACGCGGCGGAAGAGAATGACGAAAGCTTCAGCACAGGTAGCAGAGTCCTTGAAGCGATGGAGGAGCACGCGAGCCTGTCAGGAGAGGAGAGCAGAGCAGAGCAGAGCAGGAGGAGAAAGGAATCAAAATATCACGAGAAGGAGCAGGAGGATGGCAGGACGTGCCTGAGAGGAGGTGAAGTAGTGGAGGTTGGACCATCTCCGAAGGACAACAACTTCGCGCTGCTCGACCTCAACCCAAGGCTGCTCTCCCTCCTCGTCCTCCCACAGCTGCAAGACGGTAAAGGTTGGGGAGAGCAAAAAGCAGCGGAAGAGGAACAGAGAGGAGAGGAGGAGAGGAGGAGAGGAATGAAAGAAGTAGATATGGGAGATCCGGATAAGGAAGCGCAGCATCAGCAGCAGCAGCAGCAGCAGCAGCGGAGGAGGAGGAGGAGGAGAGGAGGAGGAGAGGAATGAAAGAAGTAGATATGGGAGATCCGGATAAGGAAGCGCAGCATCAGCAGCATCAGCAGCAGCAGCGGAGGAGGAGGAGGAGGAGAGGAGGAGGAGAGGAGGAGGAGAAGGTGATGAATGTGCTTGTGGTTGATGTTGTAGTTTTGGTGGAGGAGGTAGTGATGGAGGAGATAGTGATGGAGGAGATGGTGGTGGAGGAGATAGTCGTGGAGGAGATAGTGGTGGTGGTGGTGGTGGTGAGGTAGAGGACGTGGAGACAAGTCGAGCGAGACCTTCTTGGCCACGAGGGAGGGTCGACGAGAGGACATGGAGGTCAAGGATGAAGACTTTCCGTCTTGTCTCGCCTTCAGACTCCTCGCCGCCGCCATCACAGCCGAGAAGAAACTCCCTTCCTCCGGCTCAGTGCTGCCACATGGGTTGAGAAGCTCTCCCTCCTCCTCCTCCTCCTACTACTACTACTACTCCATCTCTCCTCCTCCCTCCTCTCCTCCTTCCTCCTCCTCCCTACTTCACCACCACCACTCTTCCTCCTCTTCCTACTCCTCCTCCATTACCACCTCTCCTCCTCTCTCCTCCCTCCTCCTTCCTACTCGTGCTCGTGATAGTGCTCGTGCTCGTGCTGCTCCTGCTGCTGCTGCTGCTGCCCCTGCCCCGCCCCTGCTCCTCCTCCCCCAACAACACCAACAACAACACCATCTCCTCCTCGTCCTCGTCCTCGTCCTCCTATCTCCCTAGTCCTTCACTCACTCTTGAAAGTCAATGTCGAGCTGCTTCCCTGGAGGCCTCCACTAGAAATAGAAATCAAGCGACGCCGAGAAGCGAAAGAGAAGATGAAGAAGAGCAGAGAAAGAGGAGGAGAGGAGGGAGAGGAGGGAGAGCAGCAGCAGCAGCAGCAGCAGGACAACAAGAGAAGAAGAGAAGTGGGAGATAAAGACAAGGAGCAGGAGCAGAGAAAAGGAGAGGGTCAAACAGGAGGAGGAGGAGAAAGAGAAGACATGCCAGTCAGGCACTTACCTTCAACCTTCTTCGTCTGATCTCCCATGATTCATCTGCTTTTGCCTCTCTTGAGATGTCCTGCCAACAGTCATTCTCGTTTCTTCTATCTCTCCCACTCACTGATAAATCACATCGCCCCAGCTCTCCCTCCATCTCCTGCTCGATTAAAATCAACATTGCATGTGGGGGCAGACGTTGACAAGGAAAGAAGACCTGATATTCGTCCGCAGTGATTGCAGTAGCGCTGTCACCACATTCATCACCACCACCACCACCACCACCAACACCATCATCAGCATCACCACCACCAACACCACAACCATCAGCATCACCACCACCAACACCACCATCGACGTCATCGTCGTCGTCGTCGTCGTCGTCGTCGTCATCATCATCATCATCATCATCATCATTGTCGTCATTCGACACATTTCCATCTCTCACTCTGCCGGTGGGTAGAAGGGAGAAACAAGATCCAAAGTCAAGACGCCATCGCGAGGAAGCGACACGTCTGAGCGATAATGATGATGAAGCTGCACGAAAGTCACTTCTGTCGTCTCCTCAACCTCTTCCTCGTCCTCCTCCTCCTCCTGCTCCTCCTGCTGCTGCTCCTGCATCTCTCTTTTTTTCTGCGCACCGAATTCAATCTTGCATTCCTCCAAACTTTCTCGATCTCTTGCTCAGATTTGGCTGATCCTTTTTCTTTGAGCATCATCTTCAAAAGATCTGCATTCTTGACCTGTTGGAAGAGCAGAGAATTGAGAGGAAGCCAAGAGAAAGCACCAGAGAAGAAGGAAAGACAAGCGTGTAATAAACACGAGAGAAATTCAAAATACAAAGTCCAGGGAGACAAGAAGAGATCAACAAGATGAGAAGAGAGGAAAAAGGAGAGGAAAGGATAATAAAACAAGAAAAGACATATCAAGGATGATAAAACAAGAAACGACATATCAAGGATGATAAAACAAGAAAAGACATATCAAAGTGAGAAAAAGAAAGCAAGAAAAGCATCGGGATCAACAGACAAGAGAAGAAGTAGAGATCAATCAAGACGAGATGTCATCGTTTTACCTCACACAAATGCATAGCAACTTCTCTTTGTATCGGATCTGACAGGTTCAATTGATAGTGCCTGACTTGAATATCAACATCTTGACCTCGAGGTATCCACATCACCCTCCTTCACCCATTCAAACTTGAAAGATACCTCCCTCCCTCCCTCCCTC